CCCCCCCCGGGCGCCCCCCCCCCCGCCATGGGGAGTCCCTCCAGCCCTGCCCCCCCCCACCACGTCAGTGCTCCCCTGGGGGGAATGGGGAGCACTTCCCTCCCAAATCTCTCCCCACCTGCCCCATGCAGCGGGTCAGGGCTCTTCCCCTGCATCCCAGCTCTGCTCCATCCTGCCCTGTGACAACCAGGGTGATGTCACCCTCACTGACAGTCCCCACATCCTGCAAAGCGGTGGCTGAGGTGGCACCTGTGGGGTCCCACGGGGGTCTCGGGGGAACCCACAGCCTCATGAGATGTCTCCTCAGGCAGGGACCTGGCTGCTGGGGCAGGGGAATGTGTGAAGCGTGGGGATGTGCTGCACACACGGGGTGATGGGGACAACACTGCAGGGCTCCTCTGCGCTCAGTGACAAATCGAGCGGGTGCCACTGGTTGTATTTCTAATTGCCCATCAAGTTACTTCTTTCTCTGCAAGCAACCAGAGCAGCATCAAACCTGCCCGAGGGATATCTGGCTTGACCAAATGCCTGTTCCCAGCCCACGGGGGGCACTTTTTAACCACCTGAGCAAAACGGTGGCCTCCAGACCTCCGCCAGTCCCTCCCTACTCGGGACACATGCTGGGTGATGGGGGATGCTGCCTGCCCCACAGCCATGCCCACCTGCAGGCACCCTGCACGAGGGGGGGTATCCTGCACTAACATCAGCACTTGAGAGCAGCGTTGGGCTTGGCTTTCCCTTTCCACCACCTCCCTTGTTTTCACACAGAGCCAACAGCAGCTCCCACCCATCCCGGGACACCCCCACCCCCCAAACTCACCCGAGCAGTGTGGCCGCCACTTACCGAGCGTAGCATTGTAGGGACCGTCACCGAGCCTGCGGCAGGTTTGCAGGGACGCCGGTCACCGAGATGGGCCGATGTTTTGTGGGGCGGATGGGAAGTCGGCTGACGACCCGTTCCTGCTGGGGTGGAGCTGCCCCTTGCTGCTTATCGGCAACAACAAACCGTGTCCTTGGAGCGCTTCAAAAAATAGCTCGACCCCAGAGGGAGAGGCCAGAGGCATCCGCCAGTGAGCATCCTGGCAGGGAAGCGGGGTCCCGGCCCCGGATGTCCACTGGCCCGGGGAGGGTGGCAGGGCACTTTTGTTATGGGTGGCACTGGTCCCACTCCAAGGTCAGCACATTTGCTTGCAGCAGCCTTTCAAGACCTCCCCTGGACTTCATTAAATCTCTGGGCAATGGGGCTAGCAAACATCCCTTGCACAAGAGAGGGGACCAAGTGCAGCTCATCAAGACAAACCAATGCCATAAGTAGCACCCTGGGACAACCATGTTGAGATGCACCAGGTGCTTTGCAGCCTGGGACATGCACCCAGCCAGCAGTGGATGGCCAGAGGGACCCGTGGACCAGCTGGACTCCCTGGGAGCCTGCGGCCTGCCCGGGGGAGCAGCATACACCACTTTAAGGGCTGCCTTGCAAGGGCCTCTGTTGGAACAGTCTAGGGTGGCAGCGGCCATGGAGGCACCCCCAGGGGCAAGAGGAGGGACATGTGTACATGCATTCAGCTGGACCGATGGAGCAGACGGTGACACATAAAGAACACAGCTGACACAAGCCAGCGGCAGCCAGCTCTGAAGGGAGCTAAGTGAGCTCCCCCCGGCCCCAGCATGGTGCTGGGTAATCCCTCAGGTCCCTGCCCCAGGGAGGAGGACTGTGCAGGAGGCCACTGGCATCCCCGTCGAGAAGCTTACCGAGGTCTCAGCTCACTCTCCAGAAACCATCCTGCTGCTGTTGCACAGCCAAGCCTTTCTAGGTCCCTTCACCCCAGGTTGGAGCCCAGGGACCACCACGGGCTCTGCGACCACAGCCCACTAACCCTCTCCCAGCCCCCCCCAGCCTGTAAGGGCTTTTCTTCAACATGAAATAATCTCTTTGCAGAGGAATTCAAGCACAGCTGCTGTCCCTGCTGGGTCATTCCCCAGCTGTGCACTGTGGAGGAGCAAACAAATACCTCTTGGCACTGAGGGTAGACAACTGCACTTTAATGGAGAGGTCACAGAGCAGCACCCAACAGCCCCATAACACGGACCCACATCTCCCGATGCTGTGCATGTCCCAGTCTGGAGGAACATCCCATAGTGTGCACGAGTATGGGGCTGCTTGTGCCAACACTGGCTCACAGGGTGCCGTGAGCAGCCAGCACCATGGGGTGCACATCAAGCATGACCCTTGTCCCGTGGCAGCGATCCCCTGGCACCGCTGTACCACGTGTAGAGGTGAGATGGACTCTTCTGTGGCCATGCCAAGGCTGGAGGAGGCACGGTGGCCACTGGACACAGGTGCTGCTGGGGGGACAGTGTGGCCCCTTCCAACCAGAGCTTGCTGACACCCCCCTCCCGGTGTGCACCACCAGCATCCCTATGGCCCGAGGGCTGCGAGCAGGCAGCAGGACTGGGCACACAGAGTGGGACACTTGGGGTGGGAAGAGGAGGAGAAGAGGATGTAGCTTTGCCAGGCAGAGCAGGGCCAGGCTGCTCACGAGCTGGCGGGGTACACGTGAAGGTGTCGAGGCAGTGAGGACCAGAGATGGGGTGCAGCAGGAGCAGTCCCATGGGGGATGTACGCTCCAGCAGCCCTCGGGGCACAAGCAGAGGAGCTTCTCCCAGCCCCTGCCCGACAACCCTCGCCGGGGAAAGGGCGTTTGCAGCGTGCCCCTGGGGAGGGGGCAGCCAGCACAGCCAGGCAGCAGGTCCAGCTCTGTGCACGCTTCGCACCCATCACCCCACCTCTGTAATTCCCCCCCAAGCTTCCTGGTCACCCACCTGGCTGGGGCAGGGCGCTGCAGGCAGGGACATGGCCGCAGGAGGGTCAGAGCCGGTTGTGAGACGAGGGCTCAGGGGATCTGCTGCTGCGCCCACACGCCAGCCCAGCGGCTCTCCTGGGGGGCGATGCACGGGCGTGAGGGGAGCAGGAGGTTGCTCAGGGTGGGGGAAGATGGTGGCTGGGCCTGCAGGCAGGGAGGGCAGCTTGGACGCCGTCGAGTCACCCCGGGTGTGCCACCGCAGCAGCAGCAGCGCCGGGCGCAGGCGGCCCAGCCCCGCGGGGATCCCCACCCCGGCACAGCCACGCTGTGAAGCGAGACAAGGACACGCAGCTCTGCTTGGGGCGAAGGCGCTCGCTCGGCTCCTGGCCCTGAGTGAGGGCTAGCACCTACCTGCCCAGGCAGGCATGGCGGGGAGGGGGGGAAAGATGGGGGAGAGGGGCCGGGGGAGGGCAGCAGGCAGTGCAAGGGGCTGATGTGAGGGGAAGGATGGGGAAGTCCTGTCGTTTGGGGTAAGCACCGTCGTGGCCAGGCTGTAGGTCCCTGCTCGAGGGGTCCCTCTCAGCACCCCGGCTGCTGCCCCCCCGGGCAGGGAATGAGCACAGGAGGGGCTGGGGTCGGAGGGCAGCCATGGGGGGTCACCCGAGGGGCGCCCTGCTGTGGAGCAGGGGCCAGGGCAGGGCGAAGCAGAGCAGGACAGGGGGACGCGCAGCACGCAGGGTGATGCCGGCCTGTCCAAATCAGCAAGGGCAGCTGACGCAGAGCTGCCGTCCTGTCCCTTGGCCCCGTGGGGAGGGGATGCCCCACCAGCACTGCTCCCCCCAGGGTCTGCTGGGAGCTCAGGCTTCATTAGGTGCCTTCATCCTCATGAGCACGACGTGGCTCTTCTTCCGCCAGCCGTAGACCACCAGTGCCACGAGAGCGGCGAGCAGAGCCACGCACACCAGCACGACAACCGCCACCACCACCCCGCTCTGCGTGCGCGTCAGCCCCCACCGCCCCCTCTCCTCCTCTTCCTCCTCCTCCTCCCGGGGGGAGACCGGCAGCCCCATGGGGGGCTCCGTCCAGGCACCCTCCGGCAATGCCACCTCGGAGGGGTGACTGGGGAGCGGGGTGCTGGGATGGGAGGGTGCAGTGGGGGGCCGGGGGGTGAGGAGCTGGTCCCGCGGCAGCCCGGCAATGGGGGTGCCCCGCAGGGCAGGGGGCTGGGCGCAGAGGGGGGGTGTCTCGCCCACCTTGTGGGGGTTGTCCTCCAGCCAGCCCCGCAGGGGCAGGATGCCCTCATCGCAGCGCCAGGAGTTGTTGTGCAGCTTCACCTCCCGCAGGGCGGCCAGCGGGGAGAAGATGCCGGCGGGCAGGTACTCCAGGGCGTTGAAGTGCAGCTGCAGGTGCTGCAGCCCTGGGGTGGCCCCGAAGAGGCCCCGCGGCAGCGCCTGCAGCTGGTTGTGGTGCAGGGAGATGTTCTGCAGCTTGGGCAGCCCCTCCAGCACTTGGGTGTCCAGGCGGCGCAGGGCGTTGGAGTGCAGCGACAGCTCCAGCAGTTCCCCCAAGCCCCGGAAAGCTCCCGGTGCCACCGAGCGTAGCCGGTTCTTGCTGAGGACCAGGAGCTGCAGCTGGGTGAGGTTGCTGAAGACGGCAGCCGGGAGGGTGGAGAGCTCGTTCTCGTAGAGCCACAGCTCCCGCAGGTTAGGCATGGGCCCGAAGGCGCCCGGGGAGATGTCCCGTAGGCGGTTGACGTGCAGGGTGATCTTGGCGAGGGCACGCAGGGGCAAGAAGATGCCACTCGGCAGGGCAGCGAGGAGGTTGTTGGACAGGTAGAGCTTCTGCAGGTTCCCGTTGTGCACGAAGAGCTCCGGCGACAGTGTCTCCAACTGGTTCTGGTGCAGCCCCAGCTCCTGCAGCTCCGGCAGCCCATCAAAGGCTCCCGCCGGGATCTGCCGGAGCCGGTTCTCATAGAGCCGCAGCACCTGCAGCCGCGCCAGCCGCTCGAAGGCCCGGGGCGGCAGGCGGTCGATGTTGTTCCTGGCCAGGTTGAGCTTGGTGAGGCTGGTGAGCTGGTCGAACACCCCCTCCTTCAGCTCCTGCAGGTTATTCCCGTGCAGCTGCAGCTCCTTGAGGTTGCTCAGGTGGGCGAAGTGGGAAGGCTCAACTTGGAGGATCTGGTTGCTGGAAAGAAGCAGCGACTCCAGCTTGTCCAGGGGCTCGAAGACCTGCACGGGAAGCTCCTGCAGCTTGTTGCTGGCCAGGCTGAGGTAGCGCAGGTCAGGCAGGTGCTGGAAGGCCCCAGGGCTGATGCGCGACAGGTTGTTCTTCTCGATGCGCAGCCCGATCAGCAGGGAGGCGTTGCCGAAGGATGCGTCGCCCAGCTCGACGATGCGTGTGTTGATGATCTGGAGGGTCATGGCATTCGCAGGGAGGGGGCTGGGGACCACGGTGATGCCAGCACCGGAGCACTCCACCTGGGCGGTGCGGACGCACTGGCACAGCTCCGGGCACTGGCCACCAGCCAGCTGGATGCCCACCAGCAGCAGCAGCCAACGACAAGAGCCGCCCCACTCCACTGCAGCAAAAACAAAGGAGGGGGGCTCAGCCCCTGCGATTTCCCAGCCCCCCAAGGGCACTGCTAGGAACGGGTGCTGCTTTCTCCCCGGAAAAGGCCACCAAGTCCGTGGCCACACTCCTGCTCCCAGCACAGCAGCAAGGCAGAGGAGGGCAGGCGAGGAAGGCTGGGGACAGGCAGGGCTGGGGACAGCCCAGGCGGCAGCGCAGAACGGGACAGAGCCGGGGGCTGCGGCGCCTGGCTGCCATACCACAGCTATTAGTGGCATCCCTGGCGTCCCCCTCGCTCA